GACTTTGATTTTCAGCCTAAAACTGAACTTTAAAAAAAAATCAAAACAGAAAAAATGTCTTCTTATATCCACCAATAACACTCCAGGGTTGAAATTTAAAATTTACATGTATTTTAATGAGTGCCCTATAAAGGGTTAAAGATTATCACAAGAAATAACTTGTGATGCATGATGTGGATTTTTTTAGCCGATACGATGACCGATGATTACCTGCTTCTCATGGCTGATACCATTACAGCTGATCACGTTTTGCATAAAAAATCGAAATAAATTGTGACTATTATGGGCCGATAATTTATCAGTTATAATTGAATTATCGGAGAAATACATAATGATATAAATCCTGATTAATTAATTGCCTCGATAATTATCGTGCATCCCTAAAAATAACACTTGTTTCCTCTGAAATAATTCATACTCAAGAGTATTGCACCCCTTCTCAATTCAACACTCACTTACACACTTACTAACTCTTGACCAGTAGCTTATGGTTAGCTAATGTTAGCAAACTGTGTTGCTGTGTAACCAAGGCCGTTTGCTGACTTTGTGATGGTGGTAATTACCAGTTCTGGCCACAGTAGCTGCTGTTCAGCAAAAGCTACACCGTATAAAGCAAATTCTCTAAAATGTGTTCAAAATGGTGTCTGTCCTGTAGGCCAAATGATGAACAAATTCAAGTGAGTTATACATTTTATACTAGTAAACGCCACAGTATCAGTAATGTGTTGCCTGTGATGTTGTTGTAGCTCAAGTGTACCTTGCAAAAAGGATTTCCATGCAATCAATAATATCCCATACCGTGTTTGAGGCAGTAAATAATTGGGAATGCATCAAAACGTTTTGCTCTGCCTGAGCGTGCCTCAGGACCAGAGAGATTATTAACTCAGTACTCACCCTCAGTCCCTCAGGAACACAGTGCAGCAGCGCTGCAATAAATGACACCAAAGAGTTTCATATTTAGTATTAAGGACACATACTTCACCTTATTTTGGCTGCATCTCTGCATCCTGGCTGTGAAAAGCAGAACCTTTTTTCCCTGCTGTACCTATAACTAGGTCATCCGTTTCAGCAACTGTCACTGTTTTGATCACAGCCAGAGACACAGGCCTTAATGAAACTATCTCATTATGTTGTTTAAGCCGCCATCTACCAGTAAAGTGGAAATATGATGAGTCATCTATAATGATTCATCACTTTCTTCTGTGCTGCTCATTACTCCCTTTGACATCTCATCTCACACTCCCTCCCTCATGCCCCTGTTTTTTACCCTCCTTCTTCCTCCCTCAACCTGATTCTGCCTTTCCTCTCACCCTCGTATCTCCCTTCTATTCTCTACCTCTCCGTCTACATCCTCCTTACCCATTCTCCTTTCCTTCACTTCTGCTTCCCACCTCCCTGTCCGTTTATCACTTCACTTTCATCTCTTATTCCTTCCTTCCATGTCACTCCCCCTTCTCTCTCAACTTTACCATTTTTTCCTTCATCTCTCATTTTCCTCTCCTGTCCCTGTTATCTGCATCCCCTTATCTTTTCCCTCCCTGTGTCACCTTTAATTTCCTTTTTTTATCATTTACATTCTGCTTTTCCTGCCCTGTCTCCCCTCCACCCACAGGTCCAGTACAGTGCCTACGTCGGGGTCGGTGGCCTCTTCTCAGTAGTTAAGCTCTTATGTGGTGGCCTGCTCTTCTGGTTCATGGTCAAATTCAGCCTGGGCAGGAAACTCCTCACTATGGTAGCTACACTGTTCATCAACCAGCCTCTCACTGTAACGCCTACCTTGGTATATGCTGTCCAAAGCAGATAGTCTGAGTCCCTTGAAAGCGTTAAGACTCTGTCTCAAAATGGTTATTCCATGTATTTAAATGTAGATGAATGTCACAGGTGTGGGTATGCAGTCAGTATAATTAATGTTATGTAATCACAGTTCCTTACAGTTAAGCAAAATTTTGTGACAATTATATGTATGTGTAATGGATTGATATTTTTTTCGCTTGTCTTTCCCAAAGTTTCCATCATTCTGCTCCTTTGGCTTGTTCACCAAGTCTGGTCCAACCATGAAACAGGTAACACAAATAGTGTATGAGTTTAATATATTTGTTATCATTTTTGTGTCCTGGGAAGACTTGAAAGCTTTCTAGAGGAGTCATACATCGGCTGCAATTAGGAGCTTTAAAGCCAAGTGAAAGGAAATACAGTCATTTGTGTGGACGATTTAGGTTGTGTTAAAGGTATGAAAACCTATTTTCTTAATCGTCTCCTTACTGTGAGCGATGGCGTTCTACATGAACACAAAATAATCTGCCAGAGTTTTGGTTATTTCTGTTGAGAGATTTTTGTTTCTGCTCATCGGACTGGTTTGAAGAGGGTGGGGTAAATCAGGATTTAGCAACATTTGAATCAAAATATGATGACAGTAGATTAGACTGTCTGAGATTTTGAGTGTGAAACTCCTAATGAATAACACCTAAGGATGGACTTTTTAAAACTTGATTATTTTTTCTCATGAATATTTAATGTTATAGACAAGAAGATTGAATTTTTCAGGGGCTTTCATTAAGACTGCACAATTAAACACAATATTATCAAAATCACAATATGGCAAATTGCAGATGCTGCAGTTTCTTTCATAACGGTAAAATGTGTGACAAACAGCATTATCACGATGTCCTGCAGTTCTGCATTTCTGGCCTACAAATCCTGTTCTCCAGATGTAAGATTGTTTGGTACACACTCCCAAACAAATCACATCATCATGATTTTAATAGTTTTTTGGCAAAAATTTCATTTGTGATGCAAAAACTGCAATATCTGACAGAATAATTGCTGTATGTTTTTACCATATTAAGCAGCTTACTATATTGTGACTAACTAAGAGCTAGTAGTGTCTCATATTGGTGAACCATAAACAACCAAAGCATAACATATTTCTGTTTCCTACCTACTTACTACCTATAAGCTGTTTTATACCATGGTTATAGTGGATATTACACATCATGGGCTTATATTTTGCTTATAACAATATATATTGGCTTATAACAACCATCACAGCTCTGGTCCACAACCGTATACATACAGTATTTAGTACAGTACAGTATTTTATAAAGTATTATATGATTTTATTTATTGGAGTTTAGTTTTCTCAGCAGTTTGTTCTGCTGTGAAATCTTGATTTCCATTGATTTTTCCACTCATTCCCTTCCTCTCTCTCAGATAGAAGACACCTGTTTTAGCCTGACATTTTTCGGGGAGGGCTACTCAGAGGGTACAGATCCCACACAGGGCCAACCCAACACAAAGATCTGCACTCAGGTCATAGGAGCAGGTAAAACTGCCACAACTACTGTCCGCTGATTTATAGTAAAGTTATAGGCTTCTGGGTCTCTTAAATATACAGGTAAAGCTGTCTGTGTATGTGTGTTTTCACTGAAGACATGTTTGCCATGTCACAGAAGGAAAAGCACAGTTGTAAATGATCAAATGAATGAGTTGTTTCAGTTTCAGGGTCCTGGTTTTGAGCATACTGAATCACTGCCATATTGTCATAGTTCATTAGTCACTTTAATACAACAGAGCCATTATTAATGTTGTTGTATGTTTACTTTTAGCTTCATAAAAATAGTGATTGAAACTAATGTTTGACTGCTGCTCGTGTTACATCTAGCGAGAAGTTTGGCTCCCAGATTTCTGAATCACTCACTGCAAATTTAATCATAGTAAATAAGGTCTATAACACTAGTAAGGCTGGCATTGTAGACCTTTTTCACAGCAGCCATTTTGACAGGAAACAGTAGGGTAAACCAAGGTGTTACCGATTATACTAATTAAAGCTCTGTTCCATTCAGTGTAGCCGTGAGCAAACATGCAAAGTAGCAGCACCCTGACTCTGTTTGACATGAAGGGAACATAACCTTAATTGGTATCATATGTAACACGTGTTTACCCTCCTATTTCACATCAAAGTAGCTGCTGTGAAAAAGGCATAATCTGTATGAAAAAGGGCTCAGTAATTTTCTAAAACAGCTTTTTAGGGGACTTTCTATTTCTAATTTCATGGCCTGCGGAGTAGTTACAGCAGAGGGACAGGGTATGTGGGACTGACTGAAAATAAACTGTGTTGAAGGCAACAGTGGGATACACTGATGCGTTTTTGGACAACAATGGAGCTCTATGGCACAGAGGAGGAAGACGTATTCTTTAGATACACACAGTGGGATCAGTTCATTGTTTGTTTTGGTCTTTTCACACGTATCCTTTAAGCACTCTAAGCTGTACGTTAAACTTTCAGTGTATTTTGTGCTGTAAATAATATTCTGGAATATTTGTGAATCTTCATGTTTTTGTTGTTGTTTACAGAGCCTGGTTATGTAGCTACAGTTTCTACTATGGTACAAGCAGCCGTAACCTTGCTGAATGAAGTGCACTCTCTCCCCAGGAGGTCAGTTTAGTCAGTCAGTTTTGTCTTTTGCATGTCATAAATGGGAACATTTCTCAAAAGTTCTTCTGTCTAATCTATATCTGCCTTCCTCCTTTCTTAAAGCATTATCCCACCTTCTTTCTCTGTGTCTGGCTTATTCACAGGGGAGGGGTGTACACTCCAGGAGCCGCCTTCCATAAAACCAGTCTCATCGACCGCCTCCATAACCACAGCATCAAGTTCTCAGTCAGAAACTAGCAGTAGCCCTTTAACAGTAACCGCTTTGAGGGTCGCACCACCTTCTAGCTACAGTATATTGTATTTGTCCACTGGAGATGCCTCAAAGAGTTGCCTGACTCTTTGACCCAGTCAACATGACCACTTTTTACAGTGATTGTAACTGTAAAACATCTGATTCGAATTCCACTAATGCAGAGAGAGGTTCATTTTCTTGCTCAAGGACACTGGCTACCGCCTAGCTGTGCCTTTCTCCTTTTTCTTTTGTGTTTTTTAATCTGGATGAATGGAAATACAATTCCATCAGTAGAAAGTTTTCTCTTAATACCCTGAGGACTGATCACACATCACTGCTGGTTCTCTACAATAAGCCATATCTTACACACTAATTTGTTGACTGCATTTGTGAGAATACACTGGGGTGATTTTATCAAATTTGGTTCAAGAATCTTAGTCAGCATGTAAATTTGTACATGAAATGTAAAACACAAAACGCTAAATTTGATATTTAAAACACACCGGAGAATTATAATTGAATAGAAACTGTGTACAGTGAATATTTGAATGTGTATTTGATTTTTTAAATATATTTTTATTATAGTTTTCGATTAATACCGTAATAAAGCACTGGAATGATACAGTTGGGGTGCAGTTGTTCTTAGCTGCTGTTTAGCTGCTAAGCCTGAGCTTTCTAGCAGCCTGTTGTCAATGTAATCTATGTTTTATAATTACTGTATGTCAGAGACAAAAGAGTGAAATACATGTCATACCTTGGAATGTTGCTACAGATGAAAAACTGTTCTTTGAGAATGACACTATCCATTTTTGACTAATTTCTTGAAAAAATATACGTCTTCAGTAGGAACCAATAGGCTTGGGGCTGAGACACAGACTGGGTAAAGCCTGAAAGTATTGAGAGACGGGCTAACATGTTTTTGCTTTTGGTCTTTGATTTTTGCAGTTTTTATCTCCTCTTTCACAGAGTATGTTTCTATAGTAGCCCAGAACGGACAAAACCAAAACACTGCTGTAAAGAGGTGACTGTAATTTCTCCTATCCATGGCTGGGAAAGGGCTGAAGCTGTTTTAAGTGGCTGCAATCCTGAAACTTCGCCTAAAGATGCCACTGAATCGACACACTGGTCCTTTAAATCTTTTTAAAAACTCATATGAATTATTGTTGTTTACTAATGGATAGATTGTGTCAGAAAATGCATCCACACACTCTTCGCACATTTCTTTTATTCATACAAATTCCTTAATTCTAAAAACCTTGAGCGAGAGACCATCTGTGAAACTTGAGAAGTTTTTTTCATAACGTGATATTTTTATCTCGATAGACAAAACGGTTGACCTACAAAACAATGCTTGGCATCAGTAAGTTTAAACATTTACCTATTTACCTAATAAATATCCTGTGGTTCACAACTTGTGTGTGCAAACCAGTGAGGCTGCAGTCTTCTTCCTACTTGAACCAAACTCTTTTCTGCCACCAGGTGCCAGTGTTTCTTCTGTTCCTCATCCCTGACAAATATTTACAAGGCACAGCCCCAGACATGACAGTAGAGGTCATTTAGTGCCTTTGAGATGCAGAGACAGTGCAAAGCCTTAATTAAAAGACTGCAGGTGCACCGTTAAAATCTGGAGAAACAGAAACACGTTCACAAGATTGTTACTGTGAGGTATTAGACTTCCCAGATCTGTGAGTGGATGGTCAAATATAAAAGAACTGGCAGCTATTGTTTCTGTTTTTACTCTTTTTCCTTGTGAGTCATCATGAGTCTTCTGTGTCTCATCTGCCTCCCTTCCCCCAGCTGTCACCACCACTCCAATAAAACCATACACAGACAGAAAGCTGGTTTTAGCTCTGTGTGCAGTGAAAACAGTCTGATGATAGAAAATGTCAGAGGGGTAGTTTCTGTGTTAAATAGTACAGTATAGTGAGTAGCTGTTGGAGGGGTGGATTGGGGTGGCATTTGTCAGTGTACAAGAATGGGGGGGGGGGAAATGCATGGTTTCCTTGTACCAGGAGCCAGCCCCCACCTTCCCATACACATTTCTAGTTCTGCTAATTGTTTTGGGCTTGTTGGCCAGGATTTTCATGTCATGTCCCTCACCTTCTCTTCCACTCTCCTCCTCCACTGGATCTATCTGTTGAACTACTGATCTGTCCACACAGAAATTTAAATTTACGTAATTGGCATGATCATAAGAATTTGCCCACTAAAACATTTAATTTCAAAATGACTTACTCTGGCAAAATGGCCTGTTTGTGAATTGGTTTCAAGAAAAGGTATGAAATAACTAAAACATAATATTGTATTCTGTAATAATTGGTAATAAGAAAACAAATAACATCCCGAAAATGTCAGTGTGAAACAGGGTTGCTGTATGATTCCAGCCTTAATATAGAGAATAGTGGTGAAAGAAATATTTTGATCGTTTACTTAAATGTACAACAATCTAATCAATTTAATAATAATAATAATAATCAATCTAACCCTAACCCTAACCCACAAATATCAGTGGGAAGATTGGATATTTCTATATAATTCTTAATGCCTGCCAACCAGATTCTCATTGAAATCAGACAAATCAAGGTGGTGGAAACACTGCTACTTTTGTCCACAGGGGACCCAGAATCAGCATAAAACAAAAGCTCCTTGTAGCTGCTTTATAGGTCCAGTGTGTAGGATTCTGTGGCATCTAGTGGAGTAATTGCATATCACAAGTATTGTCGCTTCACCTTCTCCTTCCAAGCAGGAAGGAGAAAGTACGGTGGCCGCAAAACGTGCAAAAAACACAAATGCCCCTACAGCCAGTGTTTGGCTTGTCCGTTAGGGGCTACTGTAGAAACATGGCTGGCCATGGAAGGTGACCCGTGGTGTCTTCAGCTAAGGCTCATTATAAGGTAACAAAAACACAGCAATTCCTGAGGTGAGTATATACTAATTACTCGCACTGAAATTGTTATTTGAGAAAAAATATAGAAACTGTACTTTAAGAAACAAAAGGAAAAATACAGTTTCGTATTGTATAATTGTTTTTTGTTGGATTATTATTAGTGATGCATTCATGCGTAAGCAGCATTTTACTGTTGGTGGGTAGTTTAATAAATAACAGTGCTTTTTATTTTATGAGCTTATCATATGAACTGTGTTAATTGTGTTTATTAATTTTCCAGTAACTAAAGCTGTTTACAAGGTATGAATAATACTTCAGAATATAAGAAATACAGGAAATGGTTTTTATCATTTAGCACAACATACACTACACAATACGCAGTATACTACACTATGCAACTACATGATACAACATACAATATTACACTCAACAAAGAAAAGTTATTTTGACAAATCAATGAAAAAATAACTAAAAGACTGCAAGCATCATGAAATGAGACAGAACTTGAAACAGTGTAGACCATATCAAATAAAAATCTAAAAGATCAATGAATGAGCTCAGTTACATGTGTTGCTCTGCTGTTTTTCCCTCAGGGTCTTACATTCTCTGACATTTTGCTGCATATTGCAATGTCAGCTTTTTCTCTAAGTAAATATTGAGTTTTGTTTTGGTCTGTGAGCGTGTCACATTCATGGTGAATGTATTTTGTTTTGGTATAAAGCTCCTTCTGTCTTTGTACAGGCTGGAGTGTAGCAGGATGTGTTGCTCTGTCTACAGTAACTGCCATTCAGCTCTCTCTCTTTCTTTAAATCTTTCACTGTTTCGCTCTATGTCTCACTTTGTTTCTGTTTGGCCTCTTTTCCCCGTCTCTCCAGTGGGATGTGTTTGTTCCCCCCCCTCTCTCTTCATGTTCACATAACACAGCATACTGTAGCATTTCATAAGATTCCCCTCCTCCTCTCTCTCCATCACTTTCCTCCCTCCCTCGCTGTAAACACAGGCACTGGCAGATTGTTTTGCTTTCATTCTCTGGCCTCTAACCCTCTCCACTACATACATCTGACCCCAGTGTTGCCCTTAAAGACGTACATCACTGATTTTACTCATCCACTTTCATTTACTGGACTTAAACCTGAAAGTAAAAATAAAGAAAAAGGTCGTAAAGTCCTCTGTGGCACTGAAGAAACTTTGTCCAATCTGAGAAAATGTTGAAATGCTGAAAGATGCTGTCATGAACATCCTCATTAGTATGTGTTTCTGTTGTTTTTAATTTTGCTTGTTTTCCTACTGGTATTTACTGCTCTGGTTCCAGCGGGGTCAGGGCCCAGTGTCCACATCTTTATGAAAATACATGTGTTTGTTCCTTTATGGCACATTATAAAAGGCTTGCATTTGACCCAAGTGTTTATGTTAAGTGTGTATATCCCTGCAAAAATCCCAATCAAAAAGGGTGTTTAACAAAAAACCCCTGATGATGTCATGAGGGTTTTTTTCCCTGATGATGTTACTGAATTGCATTCATTTAAATTGGGGTATTAAACACTCATTTTGCTATGTTGTGTTTCTTTATAAATCAAGAAGGGGGTTCAAAACATTAATGATGCTTGGGAGGGCTGTGCTTTTTTACAGTCAAACATAAGCTTCAGCCTCCTTCACCACCCCTGTCATTTCAGCAGAGTCCCTTATGAAAGTGTGTGTGCGCAAGTCTGTTTCAGATAATTAGTTAATTTGTGTGAATGGATTTGAGAATGTGTCCATGCATGAGCCCACATGTGCCTTTCTGTTCCACGTCTTTTAATTTGTGTGTGTGTGTGTTGGGGGAGGCTGGTGTTTTTTGCAGGCTGTATTCGCTGACTCTGTCAAAACTCAGTCCCAGACTGTGTCAGCACTTGAGAGAGTGGGAGAGACAGAGAGAAAGAAAGAGGGAGAGAGTGGCTGCAGACACAAGTTAGTTGCTGAAGCAAAGGGAGTTTGCCTGCGGAAAGATACTGCATGTGCTTGTACACACGCATACCAAAGTTACATTCAGGACAGAATATTGCCAATTTATACATCCATGGCACTGCCAATACGATTCACCAGGTTTTCATGGTGTTGTTTTAATGTTGTAATGTTATACACAGAAATAATTAAAATATTGGTTAATTCCGAGGAGATGTAAAAATATAGCTCCTCTCTAGTCTTCCAACCACTCAAAGCACTTTTACACACATTCACACAGCAGTGGCAAAGCCCATCAAACAGAAACTAAAGCATTCACATTCACACACCGATGCACAGCATCGGAAGGAATTTGGGGTTCAGTATCTTGCTCAGGGATACATGTGAGACATGTGACAGGAGGAGCTGGGGATTGAGCCAACAACCTTCTGATTAGGGGACGACCCGCTCTGCGCCACAGCCGCAGTCCACTTCTCTCAGCAACGTCTCTCTCATTGAATCAGAAATGATCCTAAACACCATTCTGTCTCTGATTAAGGACGCCTCCAAAGCACCAAACTCACACAACTTTGCTCTTGTCCTGAGTTCAGTTACATACTGACTGATAGTCATGTCTCCAGAATCCTCTCAATCACAGAGAGTTTAAGCAAAGGACGACAACAGAGCAAAATATGTTACCTAACAACCGAAAAAGCACTCTCTTGCTTACTTGAAAGTAAACTAGTCCTGAGCAGAGCGGTCAAATGTTAGACAGACAGAACAGGTGGATGGACGCATCCCTGTACTTCATGGGT